AGAATAGATAATAGCTTCAAACCCATGTAGTCAGAGTTACTAGGTCTGCACCTCAAAACAAAATCCAGGTGACATTCACCACGCCAGTAAAAAACAGGTACTTAGGTAACGTAACAGCTTCAAATCTGGTAACATGTTGGTCGGACTTTACACTACCATATTTACATGGAATAATATGATACCAAACAATAGTGCAACCATTCTGGATAACAAAAGTGTATGATAAAATTAATTTAGAAAACTTTGGCAGCATGATTTACGAGCACAGGCAGCCTGGCAGGTGTTACCTACCAGCCTTCTCAATGCTCGTAAAACCAACATTGTGGTTTTGATTTTTCCTTACATGATAACACACTTGGCTGCAATGGCACATTTAATTTAATACTGTGAAAAGACCAGTTATAACCACTTCACAAGCACAATTGCACCTCATGCCGACATCCTTTACCAAAGACAGTCAGCAGCGTCTTTCGTCAAAACTGGATGATCAATCCCCTTTCAACTGTTAACATCAAAAATATTTCTTCATGGTGTGATCTCCATATGGAAACCTTGCAGGAAAAGAATTAATGTCAATTGTCAGCTCTTCAAAATTTCTTTGGACTTTAACTTGGAGTACCATATCCAGTTTGCTTTGATATTTTGTTTTTTATTCCATGTTGAAGTTGAACACCAAGCTCCAGATATAGCAGGCAGCTTGATCATCTTCGGCCTTGGTATAATATCAGTCCAAGTTCCAGTGGTGGGTATCTTCTAATATTCAAATTAAAATGAAAAGCAATAGGCTTTCTCAGCGCCGACGACACGGATTTCACGTTGATAACAAAGGGAGCTCAAGGTCAGCAAAACTCGGGTTCAAGGAATGGCGGGCGTTGAAATGACTGCTGACGTCATCAAGAAACCGCTAATGGTTAAGAGATAGGGACTAAGCTGGTCCCACCCTGCAAGTAAAGGGAAGAAATTTCTTGAACACCATAAAGCTGCGGGGGTTGCGACCAGGATAAATGGTGGTTTCTGAGCCTGGCCGCAAACTTGGCTATCTCAACTCAAAACTAATGTTAAGGTGGGATGGTCCCTTTAACAGTGAACATTGAACACGCAGTGTGTCCAAAGGAAAAATTAACCCACGAGCCGCCGCACTGGGGGGGGGGCATAAAGTTGCCCCCCCCCCTTTACGTTTTGTGGAATATCTCCGAAACCTGATGAGCTACGAACGTGAAACTTGACATAGCTTCAAATGAATACCTAGGCAATGTTTGAAGAAAGTTTGGTGGTTGTAGCATCTAAGATGACGTCACAGTGACGTCATAAAGTTTTGTCGTTTTCCGATATGGACCGTTTCTGATGACGCTGAGCATGAAACTCAACTGTAAATGAACTAGACAGCACCTGCTGTCATCCTAAAACATCTAAGTAAACTTCCATCTAGTTCCTAACCAATAATTGGCCATTTATATTCGGTCCCATATACCTGATGTATCGTGAGGAAACTGAGAGTCGCAAATCTATAATTTGACTTATGACGTCACTGTGACGTCATTTCAAATGGGATCGACACCAAATTTGGACACAACCTCGGCTAGGTATTCAGGAAGATGTGTGCAAAGTTTCGATTCTCTATCTTTTCGCGTTGCGACGATATCGCCGCGGAAGTAAAGGGGGGGGGGGCAACTATATGCCCTCCCCCCAGCGGCCGGCGGGTGGCGCGGAGGCCCAGCGGCCGCCGGGTTAACAGTGAACACACAGTGTGTTCAAAATGAAAATTAACAGTGAACACGCAGTGCGTCCAAAGTAAAAATCGTATATGTACGTGTGTCCAAAGTAAAAATTAACAAGTGCGCCATTCTGGGTATATCTAATGTATCTATATGCAAATGCATTCGGTTCTTTTGTAGGTCGGTAGGTACATACCTACAAATATGCATGTTAATCATAAGAATTGTGTTTATTTAGGTATTTGTTTTGATCTAGATACGGTTAGTTTTGCCGTTTATTTATGCCAGATTTTTCCAAAAATGATTTTACAATAGAATGCAACTCCTGCTGATCCATGCATTGCTCATCTTCTGAAAACTGAGCTTTACTGGTTGATTCAGATAGGTACTAGGTGGTATTAGATAACACGCAGAGCATATGTCCAAATTGTCCAATTTAAAAACTTCGCTTTCTTATTCATCGATGTGCAGGTAATATTTGAGCAAACGTACACTCTTAAAAAGTGTTCTATGCAAGAAAACAGCATTTCCTCAAGGCCTAATCAATTTGTCAGTCAATCGTCGTATAATGCCAGTCAATGTGGTCACCCTCCCTGGGTTCGCCTGTGCTGAGGTTTGTGCAGTTTTTGGATGGCTGCTCACATATGAACGCACGTACGGCTATTTTCATCCATGCCTTTCTTTCTGAATGTATTGAAACAAGGCAGTTGGAGAACGCATGAGGTCATCTCAGACGAAGGGGGCCATATTTGTTGTGCTCTACCTGTAAGCTGGAGTTTTTCTTAATCGCTGCGTAATGAGCGCAAATCATTTACCGATCTCTGGCCGCAATCATCGTATGGCCGATGGTACAGTCCACAGCAGAAGTAATGTGCGGTTTCAGTAATGGGTATGCTTTGCTTCTGAAGCTTAGGAACGATTAGCCAGACTACAATGAAACTTTGAATATAGCTTACATGTATCGTCACCCTTGCAGCCGCAACTTTATCCATTGGCGTCTTCTTTTCAGTAACTCCGCTTTAAGAAATCGCCAGTCAAAGCCATCCGTTCAGATGGGTAAAACCACACATTGCTTTAGCGGTGGACTGTATTAATTAAGCCTGCAGATAGGCTGTGCCGCCGGGACAGGCGGACGCTGTGATGCTGCAAACTGCCGCTGTCACGATGCGGCACGCCTGAAGGTAGGCTGTGCCGCTGGGCCCGCAGTGCTGACGAGTGCCGCTAGATGTCACTAGTGAGAAACGCCTGAAGACAGACTGTGCCGCACGGCCGAGCTGACGCCGTAATGCCGCCGACTGCCGCTAGATGGCAGGCGTGGCGCACCTCAAGGTAGGCTGTGCCGCCGGGCACGGGCCTCGTTCAGTAGGCCCTATATACCAGGGCCCTGTTTCACCGCCCGACGCTGCGCGCGCTGCAGCGCGCTGGGAGCTGAGGCATACCTCTGACGTCACTCGAATGACGTTGCGTGCGATCCGTTAGCTTATGATAAAAAGCGTTTGGAACAGAGGTCCTAAGGAACCAAGTACAGAGAGAACAGAAGTTTGAGTGCGAATGCTGCTAGCGTGCTGATGGTGCTGGCGTTTGGGTGCTAGCGTTTTACGATGACGTCATAGCTTAGCGTCAGAGTGGAGTTTGTTGATATTGCCATGGAAACCCAACGCACCGACGCGCGCAGCGCTCTGTCGTGAAACACCACCCAGGTAGGGTCGTCCGGTGATTCTACTTGATCGTGACGTCAGCTCATGACGTCACCTGGGGTCAAGTCTTGGAAGTCCCATTAGAGTCCCATGTAAATGGGCGATTTTTGAAGCTCTGCAGAATGAAGTACATCGTCAAAAAGACGAGACATTTTTCTTCGAATTGTCTAAGAAATGTTTTTAACTAAACCTGTTAGTTTTTCCAAAAGTGCGCTAGAAAGCCCCCATGCCTCCGCAGCCTCCCGTCCGCCGGCGCCGCGCCGCCGCGGTAGTGCAGTCGTTAGGAAATAGGATACCCGCCTAGTTATCCAAAGATCGTGCGCTCGAATCTAGACGCGGCCGCGGGTCGGACTGAAATCGAAATTGCAAGCAAAATAAGCGCTTTCTCTTTAAAATTACTTATATTACAGCTAATCGTTCATCAAACTATCGATAACAATAGACTTACATCTAAAATATAGAACATATCCTTATAAAAACAAATTCAAATATGGCGGCCGTTGTGCTAGGCTCCGCCCCCGACTCCGCCCCTTCGTGTGACGTCATCTGTGATATTGGACACACAGGGAGATAGGGTACGACATGGGCCTGTCCGTTCAGTATGGTGCATCGCTTGTAGGTAGGTGCCTAATTGGCTGCATAAACTTTATGTAGCGAGATTACGAAACCAACAGTGTTCCGTGGCGGGATGTGGACCGCGAAATTATGGAAATCGCAGAAACAATAAGAGCCTGCAATCAGCCCGCTCTCGGGAAGTTTTGGTGTGCCCGCTCTGGGGTCTGGCCGCCGCTGCTGCAGTGGCCAGTGGCGGCTGGTGTAGCCGCTGGCAGATGGCGGTGCTGACCCGAGCCCGCTCGGGTGACCCGCCAGGTGCCCAGCGCCAGAGCCTGGTGCACGGCCGGCCATGTTCCCTCTCATTCTCATGGAAAAACGCCCCTGCTGGCTGGCAGCTGTTCGCGCTGAGTTATGCTGTAGGCATGCAGACCCACTAAGGATGCGCTGCTAGTCACTGTCCAGTGGTCATCTCATCTCACATCACTGCAGGGCCCACTAGACGGCCATCCGCGGCCGCCGCTACAGGCGCGGCGGCCCGGAGCCGATCCCGTAGCTCGCCGTCACACCCCGACGCTCAGACGGTCCCACGGAGTCGGCGCGCCACTGGTTTGCGTCACACCGACCGGAGGTGCAGAGGCGCGCTCAGGCACCTGCGCGCGCGGGGGGCGTCGGCTGACGGCCGACGGGGCCTGGCGCCACTCAGAGCTGCCTGCCCTCCGCGCTCTTTCTCAGAAACGTTACAGAGCAACTATGTAGAGCCAACATGGCTGTCGCCAAAGTGGGGCTCCTGGCTGCGCTCCTGCCGACGGCACGAGCCATGTCGGCTCCTGGCTGCGCTCCTGATGACGGCACGAGCCATGTCGGCTCCGTTTCGCGTCGCTGCGGGAGCGGCCGGCGGCTGTATGTGCTGCCGGCGAGCCGTCCCCCTGAGGTGACGGCTGGCGGTGACCCGATGACGGTGACGGCGCTGTGGTGACGGATGCCGTGCGCCGGTCGCCAGTGCCGTACGCTGACGTGCCATGACGTGCTGCAGGAGCTTCCTGGCCGCCCGTCCGTCGCGCCGGCGTCTCAAACAGTCGGGCATCCTGCGCGAGCGAGTGTTCGGCTGCGACCTGGGCGAGCACCTCACCAACTCGGGACGCGACGGTAAGGGTCGCCGACCTGGGCGAGCACCTCACCAACTCGGGACGCGACGGTAAGGGTCGCCGACCTGGGCGAGCACCTCACCAACTCCGGGCGCGACGGTAAGGGTCGCCGACCTGGGCGAGCACCTCACCAACTCGGGACGCGACGGTAAGGGTCGCCGACCTGGGCGAGCACCTCACCAACTCGGGACGCGACGGTAAGGGTCGCCGACCTGGGCGAGCACCTCACCAACTCGGGACGCGACGGTAAGGGTCGCCGACCTGGGCGAGCACCTCACCAACTCGGGACGCGACGGTAAGGGTCGCCGACCTGGGCGAGCACCTCACCAACTCGGGACGCGACGGTAAGGGTCGCCGACCTGGGCGAGCACCTCACCAACTCCGGGCGCGACGGTAAGGGTCGCCGACCTGGGCGAGCACCTCACCAACTCGGGACGCGACGGTAAGGGTCGCCGACCTGGGCGAGCACCTCACCAACTCGGGACGCGACGGTAAGGGTCGCCGACCTGGGCGAGCACCTCACCAACTCGGGACGCGACGGTAAGGGTCGCCGACCTGGGCGAGCACCTCACCAACTCGGGACGCGACAGTAAGGGTCGCCGACCTGGGCGAGCACCTCACCAACTCGGGACGCGACGGTAAGGGTCGCCGACCTGGGCGAGCACCTCACCAACTCCGGGCGCGACGGTAAGGGTCGCCGACCTGGGCGAGCACCTCACCAACTCCGGGCGCGACGGTAAGGGTCGCCGACCTGGGCGAGCACCTCACCAACTCGGGACGCGACGGTAAGGGTCGCCGACCTGGGCGAGCACCTCACCAACTCGGGACGCGACGGTAAGGGTCGCCGACCTGGGCGAGCACCTCACCAACTCGGGACGCGACGGTAAGGGTCGCCGACCTGGGCGAGCACCTCACCAACTCCGGGCGCGACGGTAAGGGTCGCCGACCTGGGCGAGCACCTCACCAACTCGGGACGCGACGGTAAGGGTCGCCGACCTGGGCGAGCACCTCACCAACTCGGGACGCGACGGTAAGGGTCGCCGACCTGGGCGAGCACCTCACCAACTCGGGACGCGACGGTAAGGGTCGCCGACCTGGGCGAGCACCTCACCAACTCGGGACGCGACGGTAAGGGTCGCCGACCTGGGCGAGCACCTCACCAACTCGGGACGCGATGGTAATGGTCGCCGACCTGGGCGAGCACCTCACCAACTCGGGACGCGACGGTAAGGGTCGCCGACCTGGGCGAGCACCTCACCAACTCGGGACGCGACGGTAAGGGTCGCCGACCTGGGCGAGCACCTCACCAACTCGGGACGCGACGGTAAGGGTCGCCGACCTGGGCGAGCACCTCACCAACTCGGGACGCGACGGTAAGGGTCGCCGACCTGGGCGAGCACCTCACCAACTCGGGACGCGACGGTAAGGGTCGCCGACCTGGGCGAGCACCTCACCAACTCGGGACGCGACGGTAAGGGTCGCCGACCTGGGCGAGCACCTCACCAACTCGGGACGCGACGGTAAGGGTCGCCGACCTGGGCGAGCACCTCACCAACTCGGGACGCGACGGTAAGGGTCGCCGACCTGGGCGAGCACCTCACCAACTCGGGACGCGACGGTAAGGGTCGCCGGCCTGGGCGAGCACCTCACCAACTCGGGACGCGACGGTAAGGGTCGCCGACCTGGGCGAGCACCTCACCAACTCGGGACGCGACGGTAAGGGTCGCCGACCTGGGCGAGCACCTCACCAACTCCGGGCGCGACGGTAAGGGTCGCCGACCTGGGCGAGCACCTCACCAACTCGGGACGCGACGGTAAGGGTCGCCGACCTGGGCGAGCACCTCACCAACTCGGGACGCGACGGTAAGGGTCGCCGACCTGGGCGAGCACCTCACCAACTCGGGACGCGACGGTAAGGGTCGCCGACCTGGGCGAGCACCTCACCAACTCCGGGCGCGACGGTAAGGGTCGCCGACCTGGGCGAGCACCTCACCAACTCCGGGCGCGACGGTAAGGGTCGCCGACCTGGGCGAGCACCTCACCAACTCGGGACGCGACGGTAAGGGTCGCCGACCTGGGCGAGCACCTCACCAACTCGGGACGCGACGGTAAGGGTCGCCGACCTGGGCGAGCACCTCACCAACTCGGGACGCGACGGTAAGGGTCGCCGACCTGGGCGAGCACCTCACCAACTCGGGACGCGACGGTAAGGGTCGCCGACCTGGGCGAGCACCTCACCAACTCGGGACGCGACGGTAAGGGTCGCCGACCTGGGCGAGCACCTCACCAACTCGGGACGCGACGGTAAGGGTCGCCGGCCTGGGCGAGCACCTCACCAACTCGGGACGCGACGGTAAGGGTCGCCGACCTGGGCGAGCACCTCACCAACTCGGGACGCGACGGTAAGGGTCGCCGACCTGGGCGAGCACCTCACCAACTCCGGACGCGACGGTAAGGGTCGCCGACCTGGGCGAGCACCTCACCAACTCGGGACGCGACGGTAAGGGTCGCCGACCTGGGCGAGCACCTCACCAACTCGGGACGCGACGGTAAGGGTCGCCGGCCGCCGCCCCGCCGCGGGCCGGCTAACGACGGGGGCGGGCGGGGGGGGGGCGACTTAAATGCCTAACGGTATAACTAGTTGTCTTTGACTTGTTGATTTAACTAGTTGATAACATTGAGCCCTATTGTTATCCCTTGGTGGTCTGATATTTATTTTTCACCGTGATCAAATGCATCATCTCTACATCGAAAGGTTCCCTGTCCGAGAGTCCTCCATCTGACTGTTTCCGTCCGACAGTCCTCCATCTGACTGTTCCCGTCTGACTGTCTCCTATATGATAAACTGATCAGTGCCCTGTCGGTTGACTGCAGTTCCGGTGGTTTTGAAGAGCTGTGCCGAGTTTATCGAGGCCCACGGCATCGTGGACGGCATCTACCGGCTGTCGGGCGTCAACTCTAACATCCAGCGGCTCAGGTGAGTCACCTCCAACATCCAGCGGCTCAGGTGAGGGTCAGCTCCAACATCCAGCGGCTCAGGTGAGTCACCTCCAACATCCAGCGGCTCAGGTGAGTCACCTCCAACATCCAGCGGCTCAGGTGAATCAGATCCAACATTTCTTTCATTTTGTGTATTTCATATTATATATCCCCAACAGGCAGTGCCCATCGTAAGGCAAAGTAAAACAACAACAACAACAACAACAACAACAACAACAACAACAACAACAACAACAACAACAAGCATAGGGAACATGTGACACTACCTAAGAGGCAGAGGCTGATAACTGAGATGCCAGCTTCACTTTTTTAAAGAGAAGCTTGTATGTAGTAATCCATTCCATTTTTTTTTTCACAATTTTCTGGGGTAACAGTTCGGCCTCCGAAGGTATGTTTTTCCGTTGTGCGTGACACCAGGCGCTGAAATAGCCCTTCCCGACTGTCTGGCGCTGTCTGTCCCGACTGTCTGGCGCTGTCTGTCCCGACTGTCTGGCGCTGTCTGCCCCGATTGTCTGGCGCTGTCTGTCCCGACTGTCTGGCGCTGTCTGTCCTGATTGTCTGGCGCTGTCTGTCCTGACTGTCTGGCGCTGTCTGTCCCGACTGTCTGGCGTTGTCTGTCCTGATTGTCTGGCGCTGTCTGTCCTGACTGTCTGGCGCTGTCTGTCCTGATTGTCTGGCGCTGTCTGCCCTGATTGTCTGGCGCTGTCTGTCCTGACTGTCTGGCGCTGTCTGTCCTGATTGTCTGGCGCTGTCTGCCCTGATTGTCTGGCGCTGTCTGTAAAAAGGCTGCCCCATAGGCTGTGCCAAATTTGGCGGCGCTGCGCGCCGCCGTTTTTACGCTATCTTCAAAAAACCTTAGGGGATGGGTCGCATCGATCCCCTGCCAGGGCGAGAGTTAACTTGTAAGCTTATGAATTTAATTAAAGTTCACTTAATTTTAAGTTCATTTTTATGTTCACTTAAACTGGTAAAAAGTATGCTATTCGATGCGCACTGGCTTGCTGAGTTCACTAGTGCCTTTATGTTTATTGTATTCTTCTTTGTTCTTAGCTCAAAAGCTATAGGGGAAGTTGGGGGAACGCCGAAGACTTTTTTTCTGACGCCCGTAGCACGCAAGGTAGACAACATAAGCTATTCTTGTTGGCGTCATTCGAGAGGCCAGTCTTTTGCCTTTCAAACATACCAGGCGCATTTGATGAATTCGCATACCGTTAAGCGCACAAACTAAAAATATCAAAGAAGTGACTTTTTCGGCGTTGCCCCGGACTGCGGGGAAAGCCGAAAATGGGAGAAATGATCTACGGGGAATGCCGACATTGATGTTTTGCCATTTTATCTCAAACTTTATCCAGAATTCATCAAAGCTGACACGCGTTTTAAGAGCTTGAGGACGCGGTGCACACTGGAAGTTATAATTGTGTGACAATAAGAACATGCCAGGTAAATCATTCCTTATAGGTGACAGGCCGTTGTGTCGGTTGAAAGTGTAATTTGTGTGACTAAAAATACGCGTTGCTATTCTACAGCAGTAAAGTCCACGTAGCGTGCTTTTAACAACTGCGTAATCGCACGTTTTCGGCATTACCCCAGCCTGCCATACTTTCATTTGCAGGCCCATAGCTTTTCAACGTGCTGTATAAATTTCAAATAGGCAGCACACTTATGCAAAGACATGCTAAAGATTACTTGACCGAATTGGCCAGACAAACGGTAGCATAATGAGTAAGAAATGCAGCTTCAAAGGCGCATGTAGTACAAGGGAAACGTACCTTGAAAACGCTCTTGGCGCCCTCACAGTCGAAGTATTCCGAATGACGACTCGTAACAAACATGCGATAATTGTAGTCACTTAAGCTTCAGAGCATCACTGACAGGTGGCAACCATGTCTTACGGTTTTCGAAATATCTCGAATTTCGGCTTTGCCCCAACTCCGGCATTGCCCCAACTTCCCCTAGTTAAGCGAAAAACATTTGACGTGTTTTAGCGATTTTTTCACTTATGTCTCCTAAACCCCCCAAATATTGACCTATTATAGCCATCAAATTTGCACAAGTGCGAGATTTCATATGGGTCCATCTACCCTGTAAATTTGGTATTGGTATATTATTGGTATATTATTATTGGTATTGGTATATTACTAAGTGCCATAGAAGTCAATCACCACAGGGCGGGTCGTACCCCCCCCCCCCCCGTGGTCTTCATGAAAAAGTCCGTGGCCTGGCGAGGGTTCAGTGTCAGCCAGTAGAGCGCCAGTGGGCGCGGCGGGCGGGATGAGATCCGCAGCTGAACCAGGTGCTCGCTACAACTGGTAGCTGTTTGTGTGAGTACATACCTACGGTGCCGGCGCTGCGGTGCCGCGGCCGACTGACCCCGCGCCGCGCTGTGGCTCCCCAGGAACGCGTTTGACGAGGACCGGGTACCGGACCTGTCCCAGCCGAGCGTGCGCCAGGACATCCACAGCGTGTCGTGTCTGCTCAAACAGTACCTGCGGGAGCTGCCCAACCCGCTGCTCACCTACCAGCTGTACGACCAATGGGCGTCAGCCGTGCAGAGCGCCGAGCCGCAGCGGCTGGCCAGGGTCCGCGAGGTGACGCAGCAGCTGCCGCCGCCGCACTACAGGTGAGTGCCGCCGAGCCGCGGCGTAGGCCACAACACGGAAACACGGGACCGCCCGCTGCACGTGTAGGCCACAACACGGGAACACGGGACCGCCCGCTGCACGTGTAGGCCACAACACGGGAACACGGGACCGCCCGCTGCACGTGTAGGCCACAACACGGAAACACGGGACCGCCCGGTCTGTGATGCAGAGCTGTTCGTAGACGGAGGGCCTCGTGAGCCTTGCTAGAGAAGTGCAGATTCTGCAGAATCAGTTTGCAATATGCTGACATGGAAGGGCTCATGACAATATGTCTGAGCCAGCTCTGTCATGCCGTGCACCAAGCGCTGCTAGTGCCCCGGCCGCACCCTCTCTGACCTGACGCGTCCGTCGGCGCGCCGCAGGACACTGGAGTTCCTGGTGCGCCACCTGGCGCGCGTGGCCACCCACCACCGCAGCACGGGCATGACGGCCAAAAACCTGGCCATCGTGTGGGCACCCAACCTGGTTCGGAGCCAGCACTTGGAGCTGGGCGGAGTCGCCGCCCTGCAGGTCAGCCTTACGCCGCCGCTACAGTCCGTCTCTCTCTCTCTCTCTCTCTCTCTCTCTCTCTCTCTCTCTCTCTCTCTCTCTCTCTCTCTCTCTCTCTCTCTCTCTCTCTCTCTCTCTCTCTCTCTCTCTCTCTCTCTCTCTCTCTCTCTCTCTCTCTCTCTCTCTCTCTCTCTCTCTCTCTCTCTCTCTCTCTCTCTCTCTCTCTCTCTCTCTCTCTCTCTCTCTCTCTCTCACGCTCACGCTCACGCTCACGCTCACGCTCACGCTCACGCTCACGCTCACGCTCACGCTCACGCTCACGCTCACGCTCACGCTCACGCTCACGCTCACGCTCACGCTCACGCTCACGCTCACGCTCACGCTCACGCTCACGCTCACGCTCACGCTCACGCTCACGCTCACGCTCACGCTCACGCTCACGCTCACGCTCACGCTCACGCTCACGCTCACGCTCACGCTCACGCTCACGCTCACGCTCACGCTCACGCTCACGCTCACGCTCACGCTCACGCTCACGCTCACGCTCACGCTCACGCTCACTCTCTCTCTCTCTCTCTCTCTCTCTCTCTCTCTCTCTCTCTCTCTCTCTCTCTCTCTCTCTCTCTCTCTCTCTCTCTCTCTCTCACTCGCTCGTTCCGTTCTCACGTCGCCAGGGGATCGGCGTGCAGGCGGTCATCGTCGAGTACCTGATCGGCTCGTGTGAGCTGGTCTTCTGTGGCCGGCTGCCGCCGCTGCCGGACCCGGCGACGGACGGCAAGCGGTCTCGGCCGCGCTCGCTGGCCGTGACCAGTCCCAGTCGACTGCTGAGTCGGGCGCCGGCACCGGCCAAACCCGCCTCCCCGTCCAAGGCCGAACACAACTACATCGAAGTCGGTGAGTGCGGGGACTGTCCACCGGGGCTGGATGGCTGTGTTGTCTACCTGTTCAGTTGTTTGTGTTTATCTGTTTATCTGTTTGTTGTTTGTTTGTTTGTTTGTTTGTTTGTTTGTTTGTTTGTCTATCTGTTTGTTTGTTTGTTTATTTGTTTGTTTGTTGTGGTGGTGTTCATAGCCTGGCGCGGTGGTGGCAGCAGTCTTGGGTGACGGTTTTCACTGTGGTGCATGGACTGTGGCGACAAAATGTGACGAATCACGTTGATAGGGGAAAGTGGGGTTAGACGACCACGGTAGGGGGTAGGTAAGACGGCCATCCCATCTAACTAACCAATGTTAGACGCCCAGGGTACGGGGTAGGTAAGACGGCCATCCCCTCTAACTAATCAATGACCAAGCTACAGAACTAACGATTTTTTCTCGAGCGAAATAAATCGGGAATAGAGTTGTCTTTCCCAACACACACCATCATTGAAGCCTGGTGAATTTACGTTCAGCAAATGACTCGATATTTCGATTTATATAACCAGTAAAACGCCTTTTGGGCAAAGACCGAGCGAGCGCTAGAGTGAGCCTCCACGTGCGGAAGGGTAAGAGACAGGTTGGAGATCTGTCAAAATTTCAGGGGGGGGGGGAGTCCAGGCCGGGCAGACGGAGGTGGGCTGGATGCAGTACCATGGAATTACAGAGCAGTATTTCGTTTTCAGGGGGTCCTGACCCCCCCCCCCCCGCCCCCCCCCCCCCGAGATCTCCACCTCTGGTCAGAGAGTACTTCCAACTGGCTTGTGCACGGCACTCTACTTACCGGTCACTAGCGGTGTGCCAAATTTGTAGGCAATTGGCCCAGCCGTTCCCGAGATCTGGAAGCGGCACGCTGCACGTGCGAACGTGCAAACTGGGTCCAGGTTGACTTGTGCAGGGCACCCTATCAACCGGTGCCTCACCGCGTACCAAATTTGAACGCAATCGGCCCAGCCGTTCTCGAGATCTGGAAGCGCCCCTGCACGTGTACACGTGCAGAAGCACTCTAACCGTAACACATGAAAATGCATTGCCGGGTGGATGCCTGCCTACATACCAAGTTTCAGCGAAATCGCCCCAGTAATCATAGGCGGCGGAACGATATTTGAGACAAGGGGGGGGGGCACCAGCTCAAGGAGCCAAACCAAGGGTACCCCCAAGCATAAGCGTAGGAACCATGGGTGCAAGGGTGCAGCTGCACCCATAATATTTTTCCAGTGGGTGCAGACAATGTATCCTGCACCCACAATAATCTGAACCAAAAACCCCTTTTCTCATCAACACTACTTCCCATGCAGCACGGATAAATTCAGGATATGTTGCCTTATGCCTACTATCCATCTTTCGAAGCATTTCCTACTGTGATGTCTTCAAAACTTACATTTGTGCTGAAGAAAAAAGGGAAATGGAGCATGTGATTGAACACATACCGAACCGATGACCCACTGTCAAAATTTTTAGCCCGATATCTTCGAAAATGGCTAAGTTGGCCGCTTTTACTTTTTGCGGTAGTCAATATTGACAATATTAACCCTCGCATGTGTGTGGCCTCTTCCAGCTTCTAATGTGTAGGGGGAGGGGGGGGGGGTCGGTCGGACCCCCCTGCCGTTCGGCCCCTGATCGAGCTAGAGCTTCGCGGAAAAAAACGAGGGTGCTGCCCGTGACGAGAGGAAGCCGGTGATACCCAATTTTAACCCTCGCCGGACCTATTGGTTTTCTACATACGCGCCGGCCGAGGGGGGGGGGGGGGTACGACCCCCCCTCGCCGTTTCGCCCCTGGTGGAGCTAGCGCGTCGCGGAAAAAACGAGCCTGTGCGTCGTTACGAGACGCAGAGATTGGTACCCGATTTTTAGGTCCTAGGTCAACCGGTGACCTCTGAGGTCAGGTCAAGTGCCCCAAGGTACGGTTCAGTTTTTGGTGAATAACTTCGCAAAAAACGGCCGCAGAGCGCCGATTTTGGCAGCATCGTGTTCGTCTCGCTCAGGCGCGTCGAATGATATACTTTTTGTCCGGGTCAGGTCAACTTGGGGTGTTGACCTCAGGTCAAGGTCAGGTCAGCACGCCCAGGTCACGAACTTGGTCGAAAGAGGTCATGTCGCATATCATTCGATTCGGCAGGTCTTCTTGAGTCCATTGGTGGCTTTCCCGACTCGCTAGTTCAATTTGATCAAGAGTTATTGACGAAAAACTAATATGACCTTGATGACGTCATAAATGACGTCACGCAAGGTCAACATTGCAAAAGTGACGCATCTAACCTTGCAAGGAGTGCATCAAATCACGATTTTGTGTGCTTGAGATAGTTGGAGATCGTTCTCGGCGCCAGAATAGCAGTTTTCATTTTTCCCCATTGACTTATAATGGTGAGGTCACGAAAATGACCTGACCTCATATGACCTTAAGGAAAAATCCGAGATATACAAGTTGGGGGACTCATAATGGATACTAGATCCTGCAAGTTTCATTTCCCTGTGACATCTCCTCTGGCAGTGAGGGCGTTGCGAAGTTGCGACATCTGAAGACCGTGCAGAGGTTCACTTATGACGTCATAGGTCAGTGACCTGACCTGACCCAAAAATGCGGTTGGTGTCAAAAGATCCGGCTTGGATCAAAGGTCAGGTATGCCAAGTTTCAGCTCTCTATCGCCAGCGTGTTCGGAGCTATCGCGAAAAAACCCTATGGGGGGGGGCGGCACCCGCCCCCCCCCTCGGCCGGCGAGGGTTAAGGTCCTAGGTCATTGGTTGACCTTTCAGGTCAGGTCAATATTCCAAAGGTCGGGAAAATCAGTACCTGCTAGAACTGCGTAAAGTGAATCTGTTATCGTTTTTTTTTTTTGGGGTGCTGATCACGAATATCTGATGCTAATTTTGATCACAGATGATTCCTTCATGCATTTAGGCCAGATCGGGTCAGGTCAGGTCAGGTCAACCATTAGGCGTTCTACCGGCTATCCATAGTAGGTGTCAACTACCACTGACGGCGTCGTAGCATGTTACGAAGGCACTAAAACTACTTCGTAAACGTTCAAAATGATGCTCAATCCGAAATCCGCCCGAAAAACTACCCTAGAAACATGTAAGAAAAAGTGAACCGAGGTCATCAAAGGTCAATGACCTGACCTGACCTTCAGGAGGTGACCTTCATACCCACCATGATGCATGGGACGAACATCATTTCATATGTTTGGACGTCTACAATCACAAAAAGACTGGAAACGCGCGGATAATGTGAGCTCTGACATACGCCAAATCGCGATTCCGGCCGAACATGGTCTCGAGAACCAGGTCACAGGTCAAAGGTCTTTTGGGTCGGGGTCATGAAATTTTCAGAGTAGGTGTAAAACTGATCAACTCGAGGGTACTAAAAGTGTCGTCGCGATCGGCCGCTTTTTGCGCGAGTTATTTGCGAAAAACCATGGGAGGGGGTTCATCTGACCCCCTACACACGCAAGGGTCAATGCTTCCAAATGCACTTATCGGTCGGTACCTTTTCGACATGGTACACCCTCAAAACTCGTAACGAGCCTTCGCTCGGGTGTCGCTTCCTACCCCCCCCCCCCGCTTCACCGGCCATGGCTAGATTTCTGCACCCATGCACCCACAATGTTCCAGCCGTTCCTACGCCCATGCCCCCAAGTCCTGTTTTCTTATCGGATTTAGGCCACTTATTTTTCGTCACAGCCCTGACACGATGATTTTTTTTTTACTAAACGAAAATGGCAGTTCACCCCCGTATGTGTGGTTAACTTTAAAGGTAGTGTGCCACCTTTGAAAGATTTCCCATTTTATTTTTCCTAGGATAAGAAGCTTCTGTTTTTACCTAATATCGCAAAAAAAATCAAAAATGGGCCTGGAATAGTGCCTTTTTCGCCTAAAAGTTTTTCGGTTTTTAGATATGTATAACAACTGTAGTGGGCTCACCTGCAAACAGGCGTCGGGCAACAATCGCGAATGCGGCGCACTTGTGACAATAAGCAAAGGTCATTATAGTGTTACGACCATACGACGTACGGGAATGAGTTATCAGCTGTCTAATCGTAGACAACACAATGTCGAGCCTTAAACTGTAAGCCCGTATTGGTATTGTTTCTTTTATTTGGCTGTCGAACATTATTTATGGTTTGAAATATGATTTTATGTAAAATAATTGATATGAAAAAGCCGTCTTATAAGTTATGACCCCATTTCACCACACGCAAGTGGCAGAAATGACAATGATCAGCTGACGCATTTTTCTTGGCCGAAGTCAGAGCGCGCGGCCCGACGCACCACGCGTATTTGGAAATTCCGACCTCGACGAGCATCAGAAGCCACCTAACAGGCGTGTTCGAAACCGCAGGAGATGATGATGAACGGGTTTATCGAAACTTGATTGGGTGAGCATATCGGTAATAGCGATTTCAGTGTGTGCATTTATTGTTCATAGTGGTGTGAAATGTGGTTGGGGTACGACCGACAACCCGTCGGGGCGAATTTCGCACTGGGGTACTCAAAATTTGAAGAATTTAAGACGTTTCCATGAGTTTTGAAGGTATGGATAAGTTCTAAAAATCCGGTTCTCCTTATCTGGGCCATTAACCCATTAACGCCCAGCGGTACCAAAAGGTACCAACGCACATTTTGGTTTGCTGCGTTGAGACCACACGTTCTTTCGCCGGATAGATTTTGTCATCGGATAATGACCTCCTTTGCGGATATGCTGTTGGGTATAAATAACGTGCTGATACGAAGAGCTTCGTGTGAGGTGCAGAAAAGCTCGGAGTGTTTCGAGGCGCCGCAGTCATGGGCTGACGTTGGGAGATAAAAACGTTTGTGGTTGCTTGTCTGTAAATATTTTTTTAGCCAAAGTGTGTTTACAATAAAGATGAAGAACTCGCAGCTGCAGTTAAGCAGAAAATCAGATGTTTCGTCATGAATCCTGGCGTTCCTAGGGGCAGAATTTTTGTTGGTACCTTTTGGTACCACTGGGCGGTAGGCTAA